AACGTACGAAGAAGTGGAAAATTGGGTCTCTGAATGGTTTGCCTCAAAACAAGAAAAGTTTTATTGGGACAGTATCCACAAATTACCTGAAAGATGGGGGAAATGTGTAGCTAGTGATGGACATTACTTTGAATAAAGCACTTTTAAAAAATATATCTTTATTGATTTCAGAGAGGAAGGGAGAGGGGGAGAGAGAGGAATATCAATGATAAGAGAGAATCATTGATGGGCTGCCCCCTGCACGTCCCCCACTGGGGATCAAACCTGCAAACTGGGCATGTGCCCTTGGCCAGAATCGAACCCAGGACCCTTCAGTCCACAGGCCCATGCTCTATCCACTGAGCCAAGCCAGCAAGGGCTGAATAAAGCACTTTTGATGTTTCTCTTGAAATTACCGTGTTTTCTTTGATTACAAAATCCGCATTATTAACCGGTACACCTAGTACAGATTTTAGAATGTTGGTCATTTGCTTCCATCCAAACAGAAGAAACCTTCTGTGACTGGAAGGCTGGCCCAGTCACCTGGGAGAAATTGTGAGCTGAGTGAGCAAATTACTAATTCTTCTAAGAGTGCTCGCAGGGTGGAGTAAATGACTTGGCTTGTAACAAGTTCCAGAGGCATAATGGCCAGATTGCTTTTGGATCTCTTTCCTCTTGTTCTTGAGTTTTTAAGTTTTGTCTGTGTGTGTGTGGTGCTTGTGTCTCTGTCCTGAGGTTTGGGGTGCTTATGGCTGAGAGTTTCTGTGGAACCTGATCAGTGTTTGTTTGTCCTCTAACAGGACAGTGTCCCCATGGGCTCTCCTGCCTTCCTTCTCTCTCTCTTTGTAAGTATTGAATGGCTGCAAGGGGTGGTGTTGCCACAAAGATTCTCTGCTCCCGCTGGGGGTGGGTGGCAGAGGGAAAGCCAACATGCAGACTGTAGCAATGTGTTGAACTTCTGTTTATTCAGGTCATTGAATAAGAATCTGTCTCTTCTGCATTCCTGTCTTTCTGCATGTGTGTGTGTGTGGGCTGGGTAGGGACTTTTTATGAGTTCACTGGGCTGGAATGAGGTATTGGTAAGGATCTAAGATGTACCGCTCCTCATTTCCTGACTCCACCTTTTGCCAATTCTTTTCTTACAAATAGAAAATTATTCAGAGCAGCAGCTGCTAGCTGGCTTTTGAAAAGTGTTCCTCATACTAGATACTCAACACACAGTTTTTATATTTTCCCCTAATATTAAGTTGCAAGACTGATGTCTGATACATAAACATTCAGTAAAATATAAGATAAAGATCTCGGTAACAATGACCACTGCAGAGAATAGTGGCTGGTGCAAATAGTGATAAGCTTAGGAAAGCTAGCCTAAAGACTTTAATTCCTTTCTCCATGAATTGGAGACCCTCTGACTGTTACTCATTTTGGGGCGCTGAGACATGATATAATGGAAAGGGCATTAGGCTAGATAGAAAAACCACATGATCTTAAATTGACTGGATTATTTCTTGGAGCCTTGTTTTCCTCATCTGTCTGCTGGAGCTAATATAATGATGTACCTGTCCAGCCTACCTCACAGGGATGTTGTGAGGATAAAATGAGATAAGAGGTATGGAACTGGCTTGAAAAAAATTAAAGTGTTATACAAATACAAGATGGTATTTTTATTTTTACTGTTGCTTCATAGGCAACTTGTGTTGGTGAGCTCTAAATATTGAGTCCTTTAATGTTAGAAATGTTAAAATGGCCTGGCCAAGCAAAAGTGTTCGTTCATCTTGCCTACAGGCCTCAGCCTGTACCACAGACAGAACACTATAATCTCCGTTCTTTTTTATTGGCCTGCAACAGTGACTGGATCCCCAAGCAATTGGCTGGCTGTTACAAGGCTGGTTAATAGGATCTTTTATCTATGGAAGACAGCAATGTATTGCACAAGAGGAAGGATCTGGGCTGCAGGGAGAGAGCAGCAGATGGAAAGAAGCCTTCTGATTGTCCTGATCTCATGGAAAACAACTGTCAGGAGGTGCTAGGGAACTAGTGCCAGGGTCAGTCTGCAGGAAAGGCCTTTCTTTAGGGACCAACAAACAGCTGGACAGGTATGTTAGCTAAGAATCTCACTATCCACTGCCCTTTCTGACTCTCCCACCTTTTACTCTTTCTGTTCCTTTGCACATAATTTGGGGGCTGCGGAGGGATGACAAATAGTCATTTTGTGGGCCCCAGATGAACTCCAGCAACCTCTGGTGGGCAGGAGCAAGATACTCTATACTATACATTCTCTTACGAACTACTACCAGGTGATTTTTACCACACACTATGGGAAGACCTATATCCCCCTCATTTCCTGGATTTTTCTGCTGATTCCCCTCTCCCCTAAGAAATCAAATCCCCAGCATTCTTGTTCTCTTATTTTTTAACCAACTCATTCATGCTCCCTTTCTTTGTCTGCCTGTCATTTAGGATGGTGGCACCAGGGGTCGCCGCTGTGCCATTGAAGCAGATATGAAGATGAAAAAGTGAAGTCTCAGAGTACCCTCATTGAGCTGAACCCGAAAAAGAAATAAACAAGTTAAAGTGTGGGCTTGTGGGCCCAGTTCCAGAATTGGGAGTTAACAGAAGAGGAGGCTCCTGGGCCATGTGACATGATCTGGGAAAATCTCAGAGAGTTGGAGTAGCATAATTGCCTGTTTTAGGGCAAAAATCATGGGCTGTGTTAATGTCCTAATGTGTAACTAACAGATTGTAGCTAATTTGTACTGTCTTGTGAAGTGTACAGACTTTAAAAAAAAAAATCTGTGAAGTGTTTGTGTTCACAATAAACTCTGAAAGAAAACTCGTCTGGTGTGTTCTGTGTGTGTGTATGAAACCTGTGATTTCTTCTGCATGATAACTGTTTTGTCATTTGTTAGAGAGGGAAAGTGGTCTTATAAAATGAATTATTCTGTTACAACTCAGAGAAGGTAAATAACCAAGATTTAACTTGTAATTAATGTTTTAAAGCAGCGGTCGCCAATCGCACCTCACGGACCACCAGTGGTCTGGAGACCACCAGTTGGTGACCACTGCTCCAGAGGTTTCTTAAATCAGCGGTCGCCAACCTTTTGGACCTCGAGGACCATTGGTTGGCGACTGCTGTTTTAAAGTGTTGCGTTGTGCAGTAAGGACTCTTATTCAGCTTTTCTTGAATATTTGGAAAAACTTAAAGGGTTTAAAAGTTTTGTTCATGTCATTGCCCTAGATTTGAGCATGGATATATTGGTAGTGCTGACCTTTATTTCATTTATTTATACATAATACTATGCAGATAGTATTTCTAGGATAGTATATTACTGTTTCCTTATCAATTTCTATGTGTGGAGCTCTTACGTGTTTTAGGATTCATAACATTGCTATTTGAAGGCTAAACTGAGTTTGAGTTATCAAATTTATTTATCACTTGAGTTTATTCTAACTTCTCTTACTACATAAGAATTAACTCCATGGAAACTAGTCATGAGCCTTTTATTATAAAGAGATGGAGATTAATAGGGTATTGCCTCGTACTTTGAGCCTTCTTGATAAAGATGGGTTTAAGAAAGATGATTAGGCCCTAGCCAGTTTGGCTCAGTGGATAGAGCATCAGCCCAAGGACTGAAAGGTCCCAGGTTCATTCCAGTCAAGGGCATGTACCTTGGTTACAGGCTTGATCCCTTGCCCCAGTCAAAGCTTGTGCTGGAGGCAACCAATTGATGTGTTTCTCTCACTTCCATGTTTCTCTCTGTCCCCCTCCCTTCCACTCTTTCTAAAAATCAATGGAGGATTAACAACAAAAAGATGATTAGAAGTCAAATCATATATATATATATATATATATATGTGTGTGTGTGTGTGTGTGTGTGTGTATATATATATATATTTTTTTTTTACTAATTTCAAAGAGGAAGGGAAGGAGAAACATCAATGAGAGAATCATTGATCGGCTGCCTCCTGTACACCCCACACTGGGGATCAAGCCTACAGCCTAGGCATGTGCCCTGACTGGGAATCAAACCATGATCTTTGGTTCATAGGTTGCCGCTCAACCACTGAGCCATGCTGGCCAGGCCAGATCTTTTTGGTTTAAATAGTTTTTAAAGTTTGTTAGGATGCTAACAAGCTAAAACAATACAGTCTTTATGAAGTGATGGAAAGGAGTTTAATGAGCCCAGGAAAATAACTGCAGTATACCCCCAAAGCAGTGCACAAATAGGCATGTAAATAAGCAGTGAAGCCTTAAAAGTTGGAAAAGTATGGACAAGGAGAACCATTAAAGGGACAAAGATTTTGGATTGGTAGAGAAAGTGATGAATGAGTTTAGCAATCCTGGTTAAAGGTGTAGTATCTATGGTGGGGGCAATAGGGAGACGTAATTAGAACAGGGATCATCTAAGGAATAATGAAGTACAAATACCAGACCAAGGAAGCAAAGTAAGGTTTGATTTATGGAGTACTTTGAGTGGCAGATTGATAAATTTATATTGAGGGAATAGCCGTTGTAAAGCCTTGCACAGGGAGAGTTGAGAGCAGATTGGATTAAAGAGAAATTGACACCCTAACCGGTTTGGCTAAGTGGATAGAGCGTTGGCTTGCGACTGAAAGATCCCAGGTTCAATTCCGGTCAAGGGCATGTATGTACCTTGGTTGCGGGCACATCCCCAGTAGGAGGTGTGCAGGAAGCAGCTGTTTGATGTTTCTCTCTCATCGATGTTTCTAACTCTATATCTTCCTCTCTGTAAAAAAACAATAAAGTATATATTTTTAAAAAAAGAAATTGACCGGGGGGCGGGGGGGTTATAGCATTTATTGAGGAACAAAGAATGGGTATTGAGAAAAATGGTGGAAGAAAACTGGGAAGTAGACTTGCTTACCAAATGCAGGAGATGAATTCAAACAGGATCAAGAAATAGTGTTGATGGGGATAAGGAAATTGGAGAGAGCAAATGATTTTGGAGATAATCAGGAAGAGAAGTGATCTTAGTTTTTGAAATGTTGAGTTGAAGCAGATGGTAGAGCACCAAAAGGGAATTGACCTTTGGGTACAGGAGAAATGAGACCAGAATGCATTATCGGTTAAAGACAGAGATTTTGGGAGCCACCTGAAAAGATATCAAAATTGAAACCTCAAAGTATATACATTTTTAAAAGTATGTATCAATGAGGAAGTAAAAGGACTAAGCAAGAACATAGATAAGGATTTATTGAAAGTTCTAAAGGGAGAGAACAAAGGGGTAAGAAAATCAGGATAGTGTAATGAAAGGAAGATATTTTTAAAACTTGATGTTGCACTTTTCATTCTGAGAAGTGAGAATTGGATATAACGGATAATCTTAAAGTATGTTTTGAGGATTTAATGGTTCATAGGTTCATACCTATACACTGAGGAAAATATCACTTATCCTTCAAATTTATTGCCTTGCAGTTGATTTTAAGAATGACTTTGGATAGAGGAATTTTGTTCAGCTAACTATGGTCCAGTTCTTTATTTTTTTTATATATTTTTCAATTACAATTAACAGTATTATTTTGTATTTCAGGTGTACACCATAGTGGTTAGATAATCATATACTTGGCAAAGTGTTCCCCCTGATATCTCTAGTACCCACCTGGCACCATTCATATTTATTGCAATATTGTTGACTATATTTCCTATGCTGTACTTATGCTCTAGTTCTTTCTCTTTTGGAGTATAAGGAAGTCCAAGAAAAAAATACTTACTGGGTAATATCTTTATTATACTGTTTGACATGGGACTTTTTCTTTATTCCCAATGACAGATCATTTTGTCTCCTGGTATATCATTTCAGCTATTGTTTATTGTTACTAATGAGTAGAAATACATTTCTGTCCCCTTATCTTTCTAATGAACTTAGGAGATGAGATGCAAATGCCTTAGGAATATTGATTTGAGTGAATTTAATGCATTTTTTTTTCTGTGTATTACAGGTGGGGCGTGAGTGGGTTTGGTTGGATTCTGAACAAGACTATCCCAATGACTCTGAGTTGAGCAACAACTGCAGGTCCCTCTTCAGCTCGTGGGACTCCAGTCTGGATCTTGATGTGGGCAGCTGGAGGGAAACTGAGGAGCCAGGGACTGAGGAATTAGTGGAAAGCAGCCCAGGGACAGAATCTAGTGAGCTGCTTATGGGGGACGGAGGCAGTGAGGAATCTCAGGAAGAGACACAGCAAATCAGCCACCAGAACCACCTCCACTTTCTCTCTGAGGTAATGGGGAGTCATTATTTCCAAAGTTGGAAGAGTCTTAACGCTAAGAGAATGCTTACTCATATATATTTTTACCACTCTTAATATTATTTACTGAAATATATGCTCCACAATGGCTGGTACTAAGTTCATTGCTGTGTCTTCAGCACTTGGTACTAACAAAATATGCTTCAAATGTGTACTTTTGGGCTGAATATTATAAAATCCAGTCATTGGGACCCTGACAGGAAATGAAATTTCTGTATGCAGGACTACCCTATAAGAGTATCCTTGCAATTCATTCTTTCAGTCATGAGATGATTCTTGCCCAAACTCACCTTAAAGCTTATAACGTATGACATTAAGGCAGTAATTTACAGTGTTTTTATTACCCTAGTTAAGGTCTGAGGATCAGAAATAAACAGAATTTGACAGTTTATGCAGCAACTACACACACATTCAGCAGAATATAGGTCAAGATCAGCAAGAATCCAGTTCAAATGTTGCCATTTCTGTTTTGGCAGACAAAATTTTCAGCAGTTTGGTAGCCAGTCCCAGTTGATCAGAGTTGACACTTGAGGTGAAAATGTAGAACATAAGCTCCTTGAGGCAAGAACAATATCTTGTTTACTGTTAGGTCCTTACCAACTAGTAATAGTGCCTGTGTATCCTTCCTATATAATAAAAGCCTAATATGCTAAGCATCCGGTTGACCGGTCGGCCGTTCAACGAATCAAAGCATAATATGCTAATGATATTCTAAGGCCGCTCAACCGCTCACTATGACGTGCACTGACCACCAGCGGGCAGACGCTCCAACCAATAGGTTAGCTTGCTGCTGGGGTCCAGCCAATAGAGACTGAGCAAGATGGTCCGGACACGCCCTGGAGCCCTCCCGCGGTCCCTTCCTGGCTGGCCAATCTCCCGTGTCCCTCCCCAGCCCTGATCGTGCACTGGTGGGGTCCCTTGGCCTGGCCTGCACCCTCTCGCAATCTGGGACCCCTCAAGGGATCCCAGAGATTGTCAGAGAGCCGGTTTTGGCCCGATCCCACAGGCCAGGCTGAGGGACCCCACTGGTGCACAAATTCGTGCACCGGGCCTCCAGTATAAGATATTTAATGAAGTTAATCTATTTGCCATCTTAATCTATTTGCCATCTCAGGCTTAGACACAGTGGCAGTGTAGTCATGTGGCATTATTGATATATAGATTATGATTTCTATTGATGTTTCTAATCTAACGATAGACTATGATTGCAGGTAGCTTATTTAATGGAGCCATTGTGCATTAGCAGCAAAGACTCAAGTGAAGGTTGCTGCCCTTCACCTGATACCAGACAAGAGGAAAGGGAAATTGAAGCTACTGAAGGAGATGAGGAACCCTGCAGAGAGCCTGAAGAGCTTTCAGCTAAGGTAGAACCATTGGTAGCTGAGGAGTCACTGGGAGAAAATGGAAGGCCAGAGGTGGCTCCAGCTCCCTCAGATATTTGTGCAGTTTGGGGACTACCAACAGAGAACGAAGAGGTAAGTGAATAACTTAAACCAGCTGTCTAGTTCTCTGCACAGGGAGGCAGAGCAGAGTGGTAGAGCACATAGGTAACTCCAGAGTTCAACTACCTGGGTCCAAGTCTTGGTTTTAGCATCAATTAGCTGTGGGACCTTAAGCATGTTTGTGAACATTTTAGAACCTCAGTTTTCTCTGCCGTAACTGGAATTATTTCTTTCTCTACCTTATAGTTTTGCTGTGAGGTTAAATGATAATTCATGGGGAAAACTTCGCATAGGGCCTAGTTCATAGTAAGCAATCAGTAAAATTCAGAATTTATAATATCATTAATATTATCTGACCAGTTAGACTAGTTAGCTCCAGGACCACAAAAATAATGAAAATTTTAAAAGGATACAGCATCCGCCCTAGCCAGTTTTCTCAGTGGTTAGAGCATCACCCTGGTGACTGAACAGTCGCGGGCTTGATTCTGGTCAAGGGCATGTACCTTGGTTGCAGGTTCGATCCTTGGCCCTGATTGGGGAAAATGCAGGAGGCAACCAATCAGTGTCTCTCACATCGATGTTTCCCTCTGTACCTCTCCCTTCCACTCTCTAAAAATCAATGAAAAAAATATCCTCAGGTGAGGATTAACTAACTAAATAAATAAATCTATATAAAAGCCTAAGCAACCTTTTGACCGTTCACTATGATGCACACTGACCACCAGGGGGCAGACGCTCAATGCAGGAACTGCCCCCTAGTGGTCAGTGCACTCCCACAGTGGGAGCATCGCTCAGCTGACTGATGGGCGCCAGATGCCAGGCTCACAGCTGGTGAGCGCCTCTGTGGTGCGAGCCTCTCCTGCGGACATTCCCCCTGTTCACCCCTCCCCCATCTGGACCGGGACCATGACCAGGATCAGGACTGACATCAGGACTTACTGGGCGTGAGCCTGCTGCTGCTTCTCAGTCATGGGTGCGCTGGTATTACCCTACGACGAGTGTGCAGAGACCGCAGTGGAGGGGCAGTGAGCCTACTGAGTGGCGAGTGGCGGTGGCGGCAGGTGTAGCAGGGCCGGGATGAGCTGGAGTGGCGCGGTGCCCAGCCCGGGCTCAGGCTCCTCCCCAACCATCTGCTGCTTCTCACACTACTACATCCCTCGGGGGATGTTGGATTGCCAATTTTGGCCCGATCCCCACAGGCCACGCCAAGGGACCCCACTGGTGCACAAATCCGTGTCCCGGGCCTCTAGTAAATAAAAGGATACAGCATCCATCTAGAATTGAATATATTGCTTTTTTATTTTTTTCTTGGAGTACAGAGTCGAAGTTCTCCAGCAAGATTGTTAACAAGAATTGACTTAGGTCTAGTTAAGTCATATTTCTCTAATTTCTTTTATAGCTTTATATATTTGGCCTCTTCTCACCTTAAGGTCAGCTTTCATTTACTCCATACATGTAAAATTACCTTGCAGAGGCCCTGAACGTGTAGTTCAGTTGGTTAGAGCACTAACCCAGTACTCCAAGGTAGTGGGTTCAATCCCTGGTCATGGTATATACAAGAAACAACCAATGAAAAAATAAATTAATTAATTTAAAAGAAAGAAAGAAAGAAACAACCAATGAATGCATAAATAAGTGGAATAATAAATCTCTCTCTCAGTAATAAAAATAAATAAATTAAAATTACCTTGCAGATAGTAAATCTTTTTCTAAAGTTTCCATTGTTTCCTGGCACTCCTAGGGAGAGGTTCAGCAAGAATCCAAAGAAGAGGACCAGGGCGAAGGGTATGTGTCAGAGATGGAAGACCGGCCCTCCTCAGGTGAGTGTGATGATGGCTCTAGCATTCAGGAGGCTCCTCTGGTGGATGTCCTTTTCAGCCATGCTACTTCCTCAAATCTGTAAGTATAGATACTTATCCAAGCTTGTTAGGATTTATGCTTTTACTTCTGTTTATGCCTATTTGAATTGTTAGCATGAATATAGATTTGCAAAGTAAAAAAAGGAAATTAGAGTTGGAAAACACTAGAAATAGAATTAAATATAATTTTACTGTATAAATATAAGTCTATATGCTTTCCTCTTATAAAACAAGTCTGTTTTATCAACATTAAGAATCTCTTTCATAAATAACCCTTCTTTCTAATCTTTATTCAGGCAATATTGCTAATTCAGATTGTCCCTCATGTCTATTATACAAACTATACTTCTTTTAAAAATACTAAGGCAGGCTCTAACCAGTTAGCTCAGTTTGTTAGAGCATTTCCTGATACACCAGGTTATAGGTTCAATCCTTGGTCAGGGCACATATAAGAATTAACCAATGGCCGAAACCGGTTTGGCTCAGTGGATGGAGCGTCGGCCTGAGGACTGAAGGGTCCCGGGTTCGATTCCGGTCAGGGGCATGTACCTGGGTTGCGGGCACATCCCCAGTGGGGGATGTGCAGGAGGTAGCTGATCGATGTTTCTCTCTCATCGATGTTTCTGACTCTCTATCTCTCTCCCTTCCTCTCTGTAAAAAATCAATAAAATATATTTAAAAAAAAAAAAAGAATTAACCAATGAATGCATAAATATGTGAAACAACAAATCGATGTCTTTCTTGCTCTCGCTCACACTCTCCCTCTCTCCCCCCTTCCTCTCTCTCTAAAATCAATCAACAAATTAATTAATTAAAAAAATACTAAGACAGCTCCTATTAACTTGAAATGAAAAATTATTTTGAAGTTATGATCTCTGTTCCTTTTTCACAAATCTTAGGAAATTGTTTATATGCTTGTCTCATCTTTTTATAAGTAATTATGGGGCCAAAGGTTACATTTTAGAATTTTTTCTTTTTAGTAAAGTGAATTTCTTCTAAATCAGAAAACAAAGTTATTTTTGTTATGATAATAAATAATTCCTTTTCTGGGCCTGATCTTTTGTCCATTGAGAGAAGATAGCATGAACAGTTTTGTTTTCCTGATCCACCCACATATCTGTGGAAAGGCAAACCAATAATTATTTTAGCCTTTTTAAATTTAAGGTATACAACTGAACCATGTATATATATTTTTTAGATAGCAGATTTCAATTTTTTGTTATACAAATAGAATACAGCTTAAAAACTAGGTTATTGAAGAATTGCTTTTCTGTAACTGTGTATGAGAAGATGGCATGTGATAACTATCTAAAAAAACAGGAAATCTCTAATCTGGGACGTATTATTTCAAGATATTTCAGTGTCTTGAATGGCAATAGATATTAGTAATTGAGTTTGCTTGGTCAGATAGTTTAAGGAGAACTAGAAAGCTGAGTTCTTGTGCTGTCATTGGGAAGGTTAAAACTACTTGGAGGGATAGACATTCTCCAGGCCCCTCTTTTCTGTCTTCACCCTTAGTCTGTACTGACTCTCAAGAGTAGAGAGAAGTAGAGCCTTTGGAGCATCACTCCCAGTCTGCAGCTCCTTTCCACTCCCACACTTTTTATTATTATTAAAGTAATTAATTAATTAATTTTAATTTCTCTAGATTCCTTATTTTTTATTTTTATTGATTTCAGAGAGGAAGGTAGAGGGGGATAGAAATAGAAACATCAATGATGAGAGAGAATATCAACTGGCTGCCTCCTGCAGGCCCCGTACTGGGGATCGAGCCCGCAACCCAAGCATTTGACAGGAATCGAACCCAGGACTCTTTAGTCCCCAGGCCGACACTCTGAGCCAAACCAGCTAGGGCTCCACTCCCACACTTTTACTTGTAGTTGCTTGCCATGCATTTCTAAATAGGTGGAAATAAAGATAAGCAACAGGTTGTTTCTTAAAATATTGCAAAAGAGATTGATTATGAGGTTATAGAACCTAGTGCAGTACCTTTCATATAATGGAAACGTATTAAATATCTGTTGCATAGATGTGTGAATAAATTGCACCAGCACCAAGGAGTTATTATTCATTCTGGTTGACTGATCAGAAACAAAGGAAGTTTATTTGCAGGACTTTAAATGCCTTGCTCTGATAGGGTCCTGTGTTTAAGGATAAGTTGATTTTTGTGGTATATAGTTTAGATGCAGGTAAGATATTACATCATGAAAATGAACAGTTATGTAAAGCTGCTCAAATTGGAGAAAGATAAAATGAGATGTGAGTTGTTCTCAAATGGATGCGCACTATAAGGTACATAAAGCAAAATGAGGGTGTGAAGACTTAGCTGTGAAGAGAACTCATTTAGAGAAAATAATAGGGTGGATAATGTTTAACTTTGAGTAAATAGAAAACTTGCCAACTTGGAAAATTATAAAAATAAATAGACCTGACTGGGTAGCTCAATTGGTTAGAGCGTTGTCCTCCCTATATGCCAAGGTTGTGGGTTTAATCCCTGGTGAGGGCACATGCAAGAGGCAACCAATAATGCATGAAGAAGTGGAAAAACGGATAAATGTTTCTCTCTCCCTCTCTTAAAAAAAAAAGAAAGAAAAAGCATTGAACAGTTTCATCTCTGAAGAAAGACTAAATAGATAGTTTAACTCAGAGAAGGAATCGCCATGAGAATAAATGAAATTTTCTTAGGTATTTTAAGAGTTACTATATAGAGGAGAGCGAAAAGGAAAAATACTTAAATTGTGTAGCAATCAGATAAAATGTGAGAATTCTTTGGGATGTGAAACAAAGTATTTACTTCTGTGGAGACATGGGAGACATAGTTATCAATGTGTCATATTTTTACATAAAAACAGGTCTAGATTCATTTATCAGATACTTAATTGAGCACCTACTATGTGCCAGGCACTTGGGAAATATCAGTGAAAAAAGATAGACCAGTATTTTAGAGTCACAGGTGTTAAAGAGCAAATCAGCAAAGAGACCTGCTGGAGGCAATTATAGATTTGTAATATACTTTATAAAATGATAACTACTTCATTGAGTAATAGTGATTAGTAAGAGAATATTTATAGAATTTGGGGTCCATTATTTTTTTATTCTTATAGTGTTATTAAGTAGGAACACTGTCTTGAGAAAACCTCATTACTCCCTAGGAGAGACAGAATGCTATTTTTAAAGTTATTGTTTCTTTTCTGTCCTTTTTTATCCCATAGGTCTGATCTAAGCCAGAGTGATCCTGTTCAGGATCACTTACTATTTAAGAAGACTCTCCTGCCAGTATGGAAGATGATTGCCAGTCACAGGTAGGTCTCCAAACCACTGTTGGTGTTCATAGCGATTTTTCTCATTTAGAGTAAATTTCCACAGTTTCTTCATCCTTTCTGGATTTGTCCCCTAACAGGTTCAGCAGTCCATTTCTGAAGCCAGTGTCAGAAAGGCAGGCCCCAGGATACAAGGATGTGGTGAAAAGGTCAGTGGAAAAGGGGGCAAGAAAGGTTGGTTGCTTTTATGTCTGTCTTTTCTTCCATTATTTTCCATCTATTAGATTATTTATTTCATTTATATTACTTACAAACTTAAGATAAACTTTAAACAAGTTTGTAAAGTTATGGTGAGCTCAGTCTTTATTTAAGAAGGAATGAAGGGGAACAAAAAGATAAAATAGGCTTATTTTAATTGTTAAATTTTAGGTAATATGATTTATTTATTATGATCTTACATTTGCCTTCAGTAGTTTTGTTTGTTGTTTTAAATATATTTTTTTATTGATTTCAGAGAGGGAAGGAGAGGGAAAGAGATAGAAACATCAATGATGACAGAGAATCATTGATTGGCTGCCTCCTGCGTGCTCCTTACTTGGGATCGAGCCTGCAACCCGAGCATGTGCCCTTGACCAAAATGGAACCCAGGACCCTTCAGTCCGAAGTCTGATGCTCTATCCACTGAGCCAAACCAGCTAGGGCACCTTCAGTAGTTTTTAACATTTTTCTTTTGGAGCAAAATTTTAAAAGGAACACTGTATTCATTCTGATAGTTATAGGTATGGCTAAGGCAAAGATAATAATCCAAATGATGTTACAAACATTGGCTGGTTGCAGTATTTTGGATTTTTATAGCATGTTTCATTTAAACTGCTGTCATAAATAAAGTGATGAACAAAATAGATCCAGAGACATAGAAATATGGAACAGACTGTCAAATATCAGAGGGAAGGTGGGGGTGTGAGTCGGGTAGAGATCAAAGAACTTGTATAGATATATGCATAACCCATGGATTCAGACAGTAGGGTGGTGAAGGCGTTGGAGGCCTGGGGGTAGGCTAGAAGGGATCAATGAGGGGAAAAAAGGGACATATGTTATACTTTCAACAATAAAGATTTTAAAAATAGAAATAAGTAAATAAAAAATGCTGTCATAAACCAGAATGTTAATCCTATCTAATAATAGACAAACATGGTAATTGACCATACCTTCGCTATGCCTCCCATCAGCTAATCAGCGAGATATGCAAATTAACCGCCAACAAAGATGGTGGTTAATTTGCATACGTAGGCGTGAAGCGGCGGAGCGAAGACTGAAGGCGCCTCTGGCCAGAGCAGCAAAGGCTTGAAGGCAGCTCCGGCCGGAGCAGCGAAGACTGAAGGCAGCTCCAGCTGGAGCGAAGGCCTGGGTCCCGGGTGCCGGAGGAAAACGGGTGCCGGCAGCCAGGGGAAGGGAAGGCCTATTGCAGGAATCTTTTCGTGCAACAGGCCTCTAGTAGAGTATAAAAGATCAGGAAAGGACTATTGGAGACAGATTCCTTCATTCTATAGATAAGGAAACTAAGTCTCAGAGGTGGTCTTCACTTGCCTGTGATCAACAGTGAATAGCAGAGCTGGAACTAAATCCAGATTCTTTTTTTAAAAATATTTTATTTCAAAGAGGAAGGAAGAGGGAGAGAGAGATAGAAACATCAATGATGAGAGAGAATCATTAATTGGCTGCTTCCTGCATGCCCCCCACTGGGGATTGAGCCCGTACCCAGGTATGTGCCCTGACGGGGAATCGAACCATGACCTCCTGGTTCATAGGTGGATGCTCAACCATTGAGACATGCTGGTCGGGCTAAATCCCAGATTCTTACCTCTCACTTCAGTCCTCTTTCTACACTGCTGTTCCTTCTCTTATATACCCACTCTCTGTGTTTCATTAATAATTTGTCTTAAGCCCTAGCTGGTTTGGCTCAGTGGATAGAGTGTTGGCCTATGGACTGAAGGGTCCTGGGGTTGATTCCAGTCAAGGGCACAAGGGTTGTGGGCTGGATTCCCAATAGAGGGTATGCAGGAGGCAGCCGATTAATGATTCTCTCTCATCATTGATGTTTCTATCTCTATCCCCCTCTCCCTTCCTCTCCAAAATCAATAAAAAATATATATATTAAAAAATAATAATTTGTCTTAATATTCACTTCTCACTCTTTTCTTCTCCATGAAAGGAGAAAAACAGCCCTGACCCATTTGGCTCAGTGGATAGAGCGTCGGTCTGCGGACTGAAGGGTCCCAGGTTCGATTCCGGTCAGGGGCATGTACCTTGGTTGTGGGCACATCCCCAGTGGGAGGTGTGCAAGAGGTGGCTGATCGATGTTTCTCTCTCATCAATGTTTCTAACTCTCTATCCCTCTCCCTTTCTCTCTGTAAAAAGTCAATAAAACATATTTAAACAAAAAAAAGAAAGGAGAAAAACATTCTCAGCTTTTGATTATGCAATAATAAAAGTAGATTTAATATCTAATATATGACTCCACATTGTAAATAATCAGTCAATAACTACCATATGACAAACTGATCATTGGAGTTACTTATAGCTTTGGTACCTGGGGCCAACCCTCCTCCTCCTATAGTAGACCATAGTGGTTGGGCCAATAGGTTCTGAAATCAGACTGCCTTCCAATTAGATTCCAGGTTGTGTGACTTTGAGCTAGTACTTAACCTCTTCAGATCTCAGTTTGCTCATTGTCAGTTGGTTGTAATAATGGTACCTACCTTATAGGTTTATTGTGAGGTTTAACTGAGTTAAATGGAAAGTACCTAATTTAGTACTTGGCCTATTTTAGGTAGTAGCAGTCAAATGTTAACTGCTGTTGCTATTTTATTATATGATGAGGATTGTTATCTTTACTACCATTTTCATTAAGAGCTAGTTACTGCCCTAGCTGGTTTGGCTCAATAGATAGAGCATCGGCCGAGGACTAAAAAGTCCCAGGTTTGATTCCAATCAATGGCTCAATAGATAGAGCATCGGCCAAGGACTGAAAAGTCCCAGGTTTGATTCCAGTACCTTAGTTGAAGGCTTGATTCCTAGGAACATGTGGGAGGCAACCAATCAATGTGTCTCTCTCACATTGATATTTCTCTCTGTCTTTCCCCCTCCCTTTCACTCTGTCTAAAAATCAATGGAGCCCTAGCCAGTTTGGCTCAATGGATAGAGCGTCGGCCTGTGGACTGAAAGATCTTGGGTTCAATTCCGGTCAAAGGCATGTACCTTGGTTGCAGGCTCCTCCCTGGCCCAGGCCCTGGTCAGGGCTCATGCAAGAGGCAACCAATCGATACATCTCTCTCACATTGATATTTCTCTCTTTGTCTCTTTCTCTTCCACTCTCTCTAAACATCAATGGAAAAATATCCTTGGGTGAGGATTAACAAAAAAAAGAAAGAAAGAAAGCGGGTTACTGCCCTGGCCTGTGTAGCTTAGTGGGTTGGTCATCGTCCTGTGCCCCTAAGGGTTGCTGGTTCGATACCCAGTAGGAGGCAGCCAATCAATGTTTCATTCTCTCATAGATGTTTCTCTCTCTTCCTCTCCCTTTTTCTTTTTCTAAAAATCAATTTTTTAAAATGCATTAAAAAAACCCAAACTGGTTAGTTCTTTAAGAGAGCATGTTATGTCATCACATGTTCCACATGAAGGTTAGATTTCCTCTGTGTTTTTTCCTTGGCCACCTGTAGACCCATGGACTTAACTACCCTGAAAAGAAATCTGTCTAAGGGACGGATTCGCACCATGGCACAATTCCAGCGAGACTTGATGCTGATGTTCCAAAATGCTGTGATGTACAATGACTCTGATCATCATGTGTATCATATGGCTGTGGAGATGCAGCGAGAAGTTCTGGAGCAGATTCAGGTACTGTATGTAGACAGCTGCAAGAAAAATAAGTGTAATCTCTGGAATCAGATTTTAGAAAGTCTGAGAATAAGGGTGGGTGATGTTGAAGTGTTTCCAGAGTTTATGTTTAGAGGTGATTCAAGGATTAACATTTTACCTGCTGGTTTGGAAAATCCTGAGCCTCAGTAGGACCAGTTTTAACAGTGAAGTACTGAAGGGTTCTCAAGAGAGCTGTAATGGTAGTGGGAGCTCCTGCTGCCAGAGTCTCAAACCAGAGGGCTAAACATGTAAACCAGAGGCTGGAGTCACTGTCCATTTTATTTTATTTTATTTTATTTTTTTAAAATACATTTTATTGATTTTTCACAGAGAGGAAGGGAGAGAGATAGAGAGAGTTAGAAACATCGATGAGAGAGAAGCATCGATCAGCTGCCTCTTGCACATCCCCCACCGGGGATGTGCCCGCAACCCAGGTACATGCCCTTGACCGGAATCGAACCCGGGACCTCTCAGTCCGCAGGCTGACGCTCTATCCACTGAGCCAAACTGGTTTCGGCTCATTTTAAATGTTAATATTAATGTATGTTCACACTGTCTGTCTATAGGGGATAAGATATAGTAGCCAGAAGATTATATTTGAGGGTTTCTTTTCTGGGTAACATCATATTTTACAGAAAAAAAGGCTAATCAAATTTCTCTGTGGAAAAGAAATTCAAACCTCTGTGGCTTTTAAGATTCATAGCTTGCTATCTGCCTTGACCCTGTAGGTGCTGAGTATTTGGCTAGACAAAAGAAGAAACTTAAATAGTCTGGAATGAGAACCAGCCAACCCAGTGCATGATGAAAAGCCTGTTTTGTTAACCTGGAGCTGCTACCCTGACCTTTTCTGGAATTTGGACCTTTCATTGAGACTGATCCAGAGAAGATCCCAGTACTTGTTTACCTTCTCTGTTGTCTTTCATAATAAGAATAATACCTTAACTCACAACCTAGGAGTCAAAGATGCCTGTGGACATAATTTTAAGAAAAGGGGGGAAACTTATTTGATGTAATAAATATCACCCATATCTTTGTTCTATATCTATAGGCTTAATTTAGAGGTAATTGGATTAGACCTCTTATGACTGCTCTATAAATAAACGTTACTTCACAAGTATAAGATTGCTTTTTTAATGATTACAGAAGCTGGGAATAGAGGGGACAGCATCATTTGGTGAAATAAGGAAGGTATTTGACATGGAAGGGTGATGGGGTGGGTGAAGGGAAAGTGTTTATGCTTTGTCTCATTTATAAAATGGGGATAATTGAAGCATGCTTCAAATGAGTAGGAGGATGAAAGAAGCTAAATTATGACGAAAATGTAAGAAAATGTCTAGTACGCTAAGATTCTTAAGGGGAATAAAAATGCCTGTGGCTGGCTCACTTGATTAAGAGGAGCCCTCCAGAGGCTGTGAAACGGGCTGCTGGGATTGACTCTCTGCAGCCACCGTCCCTAAACTGGGCTTCACGTCTCCTAGCAACCAGTAGTGGTCGCACAGGACGTGTTAGCACTGAGGTGAGTGCTCAGACTCGGAATCTGCGGCTGCGGGTGGGAGAGGTCCAAGGGACCTGGGATCCTACTTTCCAACCCTTCCTGACCCTACTATGCATAGTCATCCCGGCGGGCCGGGGCGCTGAACCTGTCGCTGTATCGCGGAGAGTTGCCTACACAGTCTCCGGTTGCTGCGCCTAAAATCTTCGCCATTTCCAGCCTTCAAGTTGCCCTGTGGCATCTCCACCTCATTGAAAGTATTTAGGAGTCTCTCTCTCTCTCTCTCTCTCTCTCTCTCTCTCTCTCTCTCTCTCTCTCTCTCTCTCCTCCCCTTCTCCCTCTCTCCTCTCTTTTTCTTTTTTGCTCAATCCTCATGGACATAGACAGTAGTGTAATGATTGCGGAGGGATGGGGTGGGGTGCAGGTGGAAGTAGGCATAGAGGGGATAAATAGTGATGATGGGGGAGACGGGGAGAAGAAAAGACAGTGTTCAGGAAATCCCAAGGCACAACCGCAGCGTAGAAATTGTATACAGGCATACCTCCTTTTATTGCACTTGCTTTCTGCGCTACACAGGTATTGCATGTTTTACAAACTGAAGGCAAGACCCTCCATCAGCAAAAAAGATCACACCCTTTATTGCGATACTCGAGACAGAACCTGCAATATCTCCCATGTATGCCTGTATCAAAGACACTGCTTATAGAAAAATATATTGCAGTTTCTAACTTTATAAATTAATAAGATCAAGCACTTAATAATGCCGTTCTTAATCACAATTACATTTAATTGGGTCGGGGGAATGTATGTCATTGCAGTTGATACCGTCAAGAATCTCTTTAACTTGTACCTCAAAAAACCAGAATGGAACTATCGATGTCCCCACTTCAGATATATGTAGAAAAAACTCTGGCCATTATCAAACCAGATATTGTTGACAAAGAGGAGGAGATACAAGATATTATTATCAGATCTGGATTCACCATTGTTCAGGTAACTTTTGGGGACATGATTATGTTATTTTCTCTCATTGATCTTTATTTTTTATGTTTATGTAAATGTGTTAACCTATTTAGATCCATAGTATTTAGCATTAAATTTAGGTTTATTCTTCTAACTATAAAAGTTACATGAGATAGTTTTAAAGTTTTTTTTCACACTTCAAAATATGTAAAATGAAAAATAAAATTCTTTTACCTCCTCTCTCACTCCAAATCCCAGTCTTCAGAAAGGGGCAACCACTTAACACTTTCTGTTCTTCCAGGATTTTCTATGCATTCACAAGTATCTCTCTCACCCCTTAAAACAGGACAATCCCCTTCTCTTGACCACCTTTACAAATCCCTCAAATAGCATTTCAGATCATTACATCTGAATCTAGCTTATTCGTCTTAACTTTTGTGTAATATCCCCCTGTGTGGATGAACCACAATTTATTTACTTGGTTCTCTTTAAAAAAAAAAAGTATTGATTTTAGAGAGAGAGGAAGGGAGAGGGAGAGAGAGATAACATGATGAGAGAGAAACAACATTGTTTGGCTGCCTCCTGCACACCCCCTGCTGGGGATTGGGCCCACAACCCAGGCTCTCAGATTGGGAATCCAACCAATGACCTCTTGCTGCATGGATCCATGCTCAAGGACTGAGTCACACTGGCTGGACTACTTGGTCCTCTATTGATAGACTTTGAGACTGTTGGTATTTTTTTTTCAATCATTACAAACATTTAATGTTTTAAGCCTTTTTTGTTCTGCAGTTGGTAGAGGTTTGAAAATGAATGTAAAAAAATATTAAATAGAATTTAATATGTTTAATCTTCCTTTCTTGTAGCATTTTTATTTGAAATTCCAGTTTTTAATCTCTTATACTGTGTCATATTGCCTATTTAGTCAATGTTTTAAAAAATGAAAAGGAGAATCTTCAGGAAAGAAATGGGATATCAGTTGAACTTAGGATAGGTGGAGGCTGAAGATAGGGATGGTATAAGAAAGTGTAAGGAAAGAATACAGGAAAGTATAAGGAAATATGTCATATAGTAATGAAAGGACTCAGGTAAAATGAACTTTTTAATAAATGTTAGGAAAACCAAGTAGCAATTTTTTAAAAACTTGGATTGGCCTTTTGGCTCTCTGAGCAGCACCATGGTGGTGGGCAAGAACCAGTCTCTTATGAAAGGAGGCAAAAAGGGACTCAAGAATAAAGAGATTGACCCATTTTCTTTTCTTTTTTAAAAAAAATATATTTTATTGATTTTTTACAGAGAGGAAGGGAGCGGGATAGAGAGTTAGACGCATCAATGAGAGAGAAACATCGATCAGCTGCCTCCTGCATACCCCCTGCTAGGCATGTGCCCGCAACCAAGGTACATGCCCTTGACCGGAATCGAACCTGGGACCCTTCAGTCTGCAGGCCGACGCTCTATCCACTGAGCCAAACCAGTCAGGGCAAGAGGTTGACCCATTTTCTAAGAAAGATTGTATGATGTGAAAGCCCTAGCTATATTCAATATAAGAAATATTGGAGCCCTCGCCAGTTTTTCTCAGTGGTTAGAGCATCAGCCCTTGAACCAAAGGGTCGAGGGTTCAATTCCTGGTCAAGGGCATGTTCTATACCTGGCTCCAGTTAGGGGCACATGTGGGAGGCAACCAATTGATGTGTCTCTCTCACTTTGATGTTTCTCTCCCGCCCCCCCCCCCCCCCAACCCCTGTCCCATCCTCCCTCCCTTCCACTCTGTCTAAAAATCAATGGAAAAAAATATTCTCAGGTGAGGGTTAAAAATAAATAAATTAATTAATTAATTTTTAAAAAGAAATGTTGGAAAAACACTAGTCATGAGAACTCAAGAAACCAAAATCGCCCTAACCGGTTTGGCTCAGTGGATAGGGTGTCGGCCTGCGGACTCAAGGGTCCCAGGTTCGATTCCGGTCAAGGGCGTGTACCTTGGTTGCGGGCACATCCCCAGTGGGGAGTGTGCAGGAGGCAGCTGATCGATGTTTCTCTCTCATCGATGTTTCTAACTCTCTATCCCTCTCCCTTCCTCTCTGTGAAAGATCAATAAAATATATTTAAAAAAAAAAACAAACCAAAATCACATCTGATGGTCTCAAGGGTCATGTTTTTAAAATGAGCCTAGCTGATCTGCAGAATGATAAGTTGCATTTAGAAAATTCAAGCTAATTACTGAAGCTGTTCAGGCAAAAACTGTGACTAATTTCCATGGCATGGATCTTACCTGTGACAAAATGGTAAAAAAGTGGCAGATCATGATAGAAGCTCATGTTGATGTCAAGATTAGCAATAGTTATTTGCTTCATCTATCTTTGTTGTTTTTATTTTATAAAAAAGTGAAACAATCAGATTTGGAAGACTCTTAAGCTCAGCATCAACAGGTCCACCAAATCCAGAACCTGATGGAAATCATGACCCAAGAGGTGCAAACAAATGACTTGAAAGAAGTGGTCAATTAATTGATTCCAGATAGCATTAGAAAAGGCAGAAAAAGCTTACCAATCTATTTATTCTCTCCATGATGTCTTTGTAAGAAAAGTCAAAATGCTGAAGAAGTTCAAATTTGAATTGGGAAAACTCATGGAGCTTCATAGTGAAGGTAGCAGTTCTGGAAAAGCTACTGGGGATCAGACAGGTGCTAAAGTTGAATGAGCTAATGGATATGAGCCCCCAGTCTGAGAATCTGTTTAAAATTCAGACATTTAATGGTGACAAATAAAAAATCCTATTTGTGATTTTTTTAAAAGTTGGATTCAAGTATTATACTACATACACCAGGATAAATGGCAAATGGTTCTGAAATTTAAATATTAAAAATATAAACCATATATATTCTAGAAGAAAAGATGAATTTCTTTTAAAAAAAATTTTTTTGTTGTTAATTTCACCCTAGAATATTTTCCATTGATTTTTTAGGGAGAAGAGAGGAGAGAGGGAAAGACAGAGAGAAACCTCAATCTGAGAGAAACACATTGATTGGTTGCCTCCTGCACCAGGGCCCAGGCCAGAGAGAAGCCTGCAACCAAGGTACATGCCCTTGACCAAAATCAAACCCTTGGGTAGAGTGTGGTTCCAGTACCCCAAGGTCACAGGTTTGATCCCTGGTCAGGGTACATAAAAGCATCAACCAATGAATGCATGAATAAGTGGATCAACAAATCAATGTTTCTCTCTCCCTTCCTCTTTCTCAAAAATCAATTAAAAAAAGAAAACAAATGCTTCTTGAACATATGAAAAGATACTCAATCTCTAAGTATGAAAAAAGCAAATTAAAATAACACTGAGAAAGCATCTGTCAAAAATATAGAAGTACATGGCATGGCCCCTGTGGTAGGGAATCTGGCAAGTTTCTATCGTTATTACAGATGGCATACCCTATTACTCAACAGTCCTACTTTATATCATTACGTGTATTAGTATATCTAATGTATGTATTAATAAGAAGTGACATATATAGGTGTTTTTAAAAATATATTTTGATTTCAGAGAGGGAGAGAAAGAATCATCAATGGTGAATCATTAATTGGCTACCTCCTGCATGCCCCACACTGGGGATCGAGCCCACAACCCAAGCATGTGTCCTGACCGGG